CATTCCATATGCCAATGTAATGGGTTCTTTAATGTATGCTACGGTCTGTACTATACCCGACATAGCATATGCAGTAAGTCTTATATGCAGGTACATGAAGAATCCTGGAAAGACCCACTGACAAGTATTGAAGTAGATCCTAAGGTTCACAAATGGGTCTCTGAAAAGAGTCCTAATTTATGGTGGAGCCTTGGGTGAAGATAGTAAAGCAGCAATCGAAGTATACGTCGATTCTTCAGAATATCTTGTCTTATCAACCACTGAAGCAGAATATATCGCCCTAACTGAAATTGTGAAGGAAACATTGTGGCTTGAAGGTTTTGCTAAGGAGATGAAACTTCAAGGTCGAGTTATCATTGTTAAATGTGGTAGTCAAAGTGCAATACACATATCGAAAAATTCAGCCTATCATGAGCGAACCAAGCACATTGATGTGAGGATGCATTTCTTCAGAGGGGTAATCGAGCGTGGAGAAGTCCAAGTGTTAAAGGTTTCGACAGATCATAATGCTGCTGATATGATCACCAAGACGTTGTCAAGTTGCAAGTTTTTCCACTGTATGCAGTTGATAAAGCTGCATGAAGAAAGATAGTTTCTTGATGTTATAGAGTTAGATCCAAGGTGGACATTTGTGAGATATTGGATCAAACTCTAGTATGTTGTCGGAGTAATGCATGTTGTAGTCGAAGTTTGTTTTAACATGCATTAGTCAATATTATTAGGTTTGTTAGCATATTGAATTGGGTCTTACTTGTAAGCCCAATTGTTTAAGTTAGCTTGTACCCTAAGTTAGCTTGTAATGGATAATTGTTAAAAAGTCCATTAAGTTAGTGTGCTAGTTTTCTTATAAATAGCATGCTAGTCTCTCATCTTGCATAACGAAAAATAGAAAGATAAATCCTAATTCAAGAGAGAGGTTATTTGTTATTCTTGTGTACTTGTAATCTTGTTTGATAGAGAAATGAAAGAATAACAGTTTATAACCAATCCTTATTGTTTCTTCTTGTTCTTCTTACTTGTTTTCTTTTTTAACCCTAACCCTTGTATTTTTTAAATATAAAGAAACCATTTATATTTTGTTTTAAGACATTCTATTCACAACATAAACATTACACTTATTTTTGAAAATGATGAAATAGTTTTTTTATTGAAAAATATTTGTTTAATCAAAAGAAAAGAAAACATTTCACTTGCAATAGAATAATAAATTTTGTGAGCAACATAAACTAATTTAAATGGTTGAAATTTTTTAATATTTATTTGATTAGAAAGTTAGAATATTAAAATGAGGTGGTTCAAAATTATAAGTTAGAAATATGTTTTTGGCATGATTATAAGTTAGAATATTATGATAGAGGTGTTGGGTATAGAATAAGATATTAATAACTTCATTTTCACAAACCCATTTCCAATTTTAATAACTTAAACCAAACGCACTCTTAAAAAATATCTAGCATGCAATCTTTAGTTGTCCAAACAAAGAGTAACTTACATGGAAAGTAGTCCAATAGTTAAAACCATAGAGAGATTAAAAAAAAGCTCCAATATCCATCATAGAAACCCAATGGCCACCATTGAATTGGCATATATTTCTTTGCATGCACCAATATTTCAATTGGAAGGTTGACAATAAATTTGGAAGAATCATTTTAAATTTCAAAGTAGAATAAGGAAGTATCATCTTCTCTTAAAAATAAAGGACAGAATTATAATATATTATTTGTAATTTATTTTATCCACAATTCTTATCTAAACCATCTTCTCGTCATTTAGATTAACCGATAAATAAGTAAAATCTGATAAATAATTGTTTCAGTCATGATTCGAATTCCGATTCTTCTAAATAATTTATCTTTAGTTGAAGTTCATTAACTACTTGACTCTCAAGTCTTAACAAGTGTTTAATTTATCTGCGATTTTAAAATTTAGGAAGGAATAAAACCCTATATGCTTTATTTCTTATCAAACATATCTTTTTCCATTAACAACATTTTCCTTAACTTTGGTACACAAATGAAGAAAGAATAATTCCCAGTTTACATAAAAAGAAATAGATGAATGGACAATTTAGTGGTCATGAAATGAAAGCATGAATCATGAACATCTTTTGTTGATGCTCCATAATAGTGCTATATGTTATGTTTTGTGAAGAAATGCAATATTGCTGTAAAGGAACAAAGATTCTCAGAATATTATTTCAATCAGATAATAAAGTTTCTCATACATCAAGGTTATATGTTGGCATTTAAAACCATTATTAGAAGAAAAAAAAGTAACAAGTCAAAAAATAGATTAAACCATTTATCAAGTTTTGTATATTGGAGTATTAATCACTTGTAAAATAGAAATTTTTTTGGTGCTTGTTCTTTGTTTTTGAGTTGAAATATAGTAACTGATAAGATTCCTATACTAGGCTTGGCTTAGGTACAAAATGGTGACTCTTACTTGGTTTCCATTATTTGCCTAAGTGACAAAGTAAAGTTATAAAGGTGAAAAGCCACTGAAATTTACATTTAATTTTCTTTGCTTAAAAGGAACAAAAAAATGTGAAGACATTAACCTAAACAAGCAACAGAAGTTATGAAAGTCGGTGTACTTTGCTGTTGTCTAATTATGGGGTCTATATGATGTATTGATATAGGTGCAAACATTAGAAAATAGAGGCATGGGTGATGAAATGTGCCATGATGCTTTCTTTTTGGATTAGAATATTTGATTACATGTTTTAAAATTAAAGTTTAGGGTATTGTTTATTGGAAAGGGGGGTGAGCATGTGGCCAGCCATGCAATTGAATGGTTCACATGCTTTGGTAAAAAGTTGTCCTAACTCTGATTATATTTGGCAGAAGTTTAGTTTTTTAATTAAGATCTAATTGAGGTAGGTTAAAGTGATGTCATTTTGCAAGTGTGCTCTAGAATATGCCATGTTCTTTAAAATGAGTTAAACAACAATGTATATAATGAGTTAAAAAATGTGAGAAAAGGTGTCCGCAAATCATAGTTCAACTGACAAAAACTGATATTGTTAGATTGAATGTTGTTAAGAGTCTAATATCTGATAATAAATAGTATAAATATGTGTTTATAAGTGAGAGTAATTTTCATCCTATAACTTGATTTTATAGGGATGAGTTAAGCTCAACCCACAATTTTAAGATAATATCAGAGTTTCGTTTAAGATCCGTTGGACCACCTATTATCGGGCCACCCACCATTTTGTTCCACGCTCCAAACGCTTAATCATGAGCGTGAGAGAAGGTGTTAAGAATCTCACACAGACAATAGATGGTCCGAACATGTACTTATATGTGGGAGCAATTCTCATCCTACAAGTCGATTTTGTAGAGATGAGTTAGACTCAACCCACAATTTTAAGAGACGTTGTTACTAGAGTTCAAACCTTAATACTCACGATTTTGTATGAATTTCTAGACATTAGCGGTTATTATTACCCTTCATCTACATACCAAAAAATGCGAGAAAAGAGAATATATGTTGTCAATATAAAATAATTTTACACCAAATCTATAATAATATAACAAATTTTTTAGATGTTGGTGTAAAACTATTTTATACCGTGGGTGAACATCTCCTCGAAATCTAAAAATGTTCCTAAGTATGGTGTCACTGAGCATTATAAGAAAGGGAGAGGGTAATGGGGAAGTACCACTATTAAGTATTGGAGACACTATTCTTTTCCCTTTGCAAACACAGATTTTGAGTAAAAACTCAAAACACATGAAACTTAAACTTTCTAAGTGAAGTTAGCAATAATCCTTAAGTTATGAACCAATTGACATAGGTTTCTGACCATGGAAGCAATCTGATAAATTTAAAAACAGCTCCTGTCAGTTTCTCAAGTTCAATGCAATGGTTTAGATCTCTCACTTTAACCTTTAAAATTAAGTTTAACTTGAGAGAAGCATTCATTCATGTTCATAGTTCAAGATTGATGTCAGAACTTAAAAGGTTCTGAATTCTTGACACCGATATAAGCAGCTTTCTTTCTTCAGTGGTTGAATAGTTGGGTTGGGTGCATGTTACCAACCAAACCCATGTTACAAACAAGGAATCACTTTGCTTCACGTTAGAGCAAACCTATTCTTAGGACAATAATCATGTTAAACTATGAGAATTAAAAACAATTTTAAACTTGCTGAATTCATCTTAGCTTTATTTATTGATTCTTGTTGTTTTCTATTGACATATATAAGGTGAACAGTGTCATTTTATAATTTATAGCATATTATCTAGTCCAAAATTCCTCATTTTGAAGTTTTTTATTTTATAATTATAGTTTTAAGTTTTCTGAACATGACTAACTCTGTGATAGGACTTTGGATTTGGGCCTAAGCCCAACAACTATAGGTTGTTTCAAAGAATGAGTTTGGTTCTCCATCTATAGGTGTCCTATATGATTATATCTTAACCAAATAGAAACAGAATTATGTAGCAGTACTCTGAGTAGGAAGATCATGATTAACAAAACCATCAATCGTCGTCCAGGAAATCACATCTCTATGAAACATTATATCAAACAGCTCACGTGCAACACCCAATTCACAAATCTCGAAATACATACGAATAAGCACGTTTGATATACAAATCAGAACCAAAACACAACGTAGTGATTAACCCATGAAGCTGTTTCCTTGTGAAACAAGTTTCAAGCGCGCACAACATTTTAAAACAAACCGATAAATGAAGTTATCAGGTGCGGGCACGTTGTGGTAATTGGTGATTTCATTACAAATATTTTTTATCATATGCAGTGATAGTGTAATTATCATGCCAAATATTTTATTGAAAGGAAATTAACATACACTAAAAAAACTTCTGATGCTAACATAGTTATTCCTAGATTAAACACTAATGATAAAATTAGTGATAATATTTATTCAAAAGACTAAACAACTCTGAAATATGACCTAAATTCCCTTGATAGAACACAGGAATCCATTTTATTAAGACATGTTTATGCTCATGCTCAGATAGCTAGTTTATGTGAAGAGTGGATCATCGTCGCAGAATTTGCATTGACATTTCTTGAAAAAGGCACCACATTGTCCAGAGAGTGCATTTTCTACGCTCTGACAGTAATGGTTACAGATTCCAGAATGGAAGCATCTTGCATGAGGCCATGTGTTACTGTTACGCCAACATGTCTTGCTTGGTGGTTTTGTTGGTTCCTTATCTTCCGAAGAACCTGCACATTAAATTAACAACAATCTTAGTGTTTACTATACTTTTGAAAAAATGGTCATAAAATTTAGTGTTACTTGCCATGGCCTGATGCTACAATGAGAATGATGGCAAAAAAAGCTGCAAAAACTTGAATACGATTAACAAACATAGCCATGATTGCTTATTAATTAACTTGTGTTAATTAATTAGTTGATATTATAAAATGAAATTAGGATGTGTATCTATATATATAAGAATAGTAACGTATGGTATATCTATTTTCATGCTTAAATGATGAACTCATGGTTAGGTTAAGTGCACAGATAATGTGTGCCCATGAAAACATTGTCTTCTTAATTTTATTTATTATTTATTTATTTATTTATATTAGGCATATATATTTGTGTGTGGCCATGGAGAATAATTTTTCTTGAGTTGAGTAATATTACATACATTTTTTCATGGCATCCCAAAATTTGATTTCCAAGCTAGGCAACTTATTAAAATGATATAGACCACATATCTCATTCCCTTTTTATTTTTGAAAAATAATGTTATATATATTTTTTGAAAGAGAGAAAAAATATTTTATTATCTTGAGTTCAAAAAAAAATAAAAATAAAAGACTAAATTATAATTATTTTTCTTTTTTTTTTGTAAATAAAACTGCAGATCTATAAATTGGGTTGCACCCCCTTTAATGTATTGGGCTTTGATACATCATGGAGTCTTCTCCACCCAAACTCTATTGTAATGAATTGCAATATTCTTTGACTAAAATATTAGGAGAATTTCTTAACACACCCTATATGTTTTTACTGCACTACACGAATTTCTACAAATATTCTTTATTTTTGGAGATACATTTTCGGACGCAACAAAATATAAGTTAGCGTTAAAATATTTCGAAAATGCATCTTCAAAATCTCTGGAATATTTCAGAACATAACTCGCGTCAGACTTTTCTCCTTTATTTCACAATTTTCTCAAACTCAACTCAACTTCTCTCAAAATACTTTTCTACACCAAGTTAAATTCCATCAAACAAGGCTCAATAGAACTTTAAGAAACATCAATTTTCATCTATAACATCATTCAACTTTATCAAACGCGTCAATTTCAAGTAAGTTTTTTGAGTTTTCGATAAATGTTTGTGTTTTGGTGTAAATGAGTAAAATCAATTATCAGGGTTAGAAATGAATAAAAATCACATTTAAGATAGTTTAGACATAGTGTATAAGTTGTTTGTTGGCTAAAAATGGTGATCAAAGAAAAAAAAATTGATGGTGCATGTGGTACATTAGCCATTGAACAACTTTTGAATTGCAGAAAATTCTGGAGATGCATCTCTGAAATTGTTTAGCGTTTAACTTTCTGTAGGAAATTTTGTAGATGCATCTCCGGATATTTTTTTTAACGTTTTAGTTTCATGCTGATTCCAGAGATGCATCTCCGAAATTTTCTGCAGTATTTTTTTAATTTTCTTGCTTGTGTTTTGTTTACCTGCACTAATGGTATGTCTTACTTTAACTTACAGGCATAATGGCTGATAGACATGACAGACTGAGGCATGGCAGAGTTGCTCAACGTACATCCATTCGCCAAGAGAAGAGCCAACAGGCTCCGGAGGCTCCAAATCCCTCTGGTCAGGCATAGCCGTCTACTTCTGAGGCTCACGCTCCCCCCCTCCCCAGGCCAATCCAACTTCTTCTTCCTGTAGGAGATGGGATTCACCATCTAACTCATCACTTCTCCCATTCTCCAACAGGCGTCAGGATCACTAGTGCCACCTCCTACAGGTGATGTTATTAATCCAGTCCCACCTTCTATCTCACTTCTTACTGATGATATTGCTGATGCAGTGCCACCTCTAGAGGGTAAGACTGTTGCATATGCTGAGCCAAGGCTTTTGAAGAAGGTCTAGTTGATTTGTCCTTACTGCCTTTCTATCCAGGCCATACTTCCAGACATATTTGGGATGGAGAGGTAGCAATTGTCGGACTCTTTATTTATTTTTACGTTAATTTTAATTTCTGACATTGTTTATTTCTGACATTGATTATTCCTGACATTGATTATTTCAGACAAATTTCAGGAGCGTGATCCCCAGAAGTTTCTTAACCACGGGAGAAAGATTGTTGCATTGCCTCAGCGGGAGAAGAATTGGTTTCAGTCAGTTTTGTCCTTATCTGGCCTAAGGACTTGTGCATTACCAGTTACACTATGGTCAACCACGAGATTCTTAATGAATTCGTGAAGAGATGACACTCGAAGACCTCGTCGTTTCATCTCACGCATGGTGAGATGTCTATTACACTCGACGATATCTCATGTTTGCTACATCTTTCGATCAGGGGGAGATTCCTATATCATAGGAGGATTACCAAAGATGAGACACTCGAGATGATGATAGAGTATTTTAGGGCTGATCCATGGTAGGCGATGGAAGAGGTGGATAAGATCATGCATGCTCATGCTAGATTTGAATTCTTGAAGACGGTCTATGAGGATGAGATCCTTAGAGCACAAGAGGCTGATGGTGATGTTGAGCAGGTGGCACTCCAAATATCGTACGCATTAAGAGCATGCCTGCTTTATTTGGTTGGCACCGTGATTTTTATGGACAAGAATGCCACATATACTGACGTTTGTCATACCCAAAATTTACCCAAAATCTACCCTTCACAATTTTCATCTGGTTCATGACTATAATCCTTGTGCATACATTCATACTTAATCAGTTCATTTTGCATCATCATTTTTCAAAGAAGAGGACACGCATCATAGGTTCAAGGTGTGGTTGTTGGTACTTGGTGAAAAGCTATGGTTTTCCAAGTCTATGTTAGGGTGTGCTTAGTAACGCCCCAATTTATTTAATTTCTTTTTTTGTAATTAAATTATGTTATGTTGGATGTTGTTTGATATTTTGGTGTGTTAGAGGACCCTTTGGTGTAGGGATGGTAACCTTAGAAATTAGAATTAAAAGGTTAGGGTGTGGCGAGCAAAAGTGTAGAGACACGAGGGTGATGGAAGAGTGTCATTTACTATTATTATTTAAGTTAGAATATATTTAAATAAAATAATAAGGATGATAATGGTTAAATAGTTATTTAGTTATTATAGTAAGGTGACACTATAAATTAAATAATTATTTTATTAAAATAAGGTATAATTGGAATTAAGGAGAATAATAAAATAAAGGAAAAAAAGGGGGATTATAGTATAAACTGTCAGATACGTGTTTTGGAGAAAAGTGAGAAAGAGAAGAAGGAAAGTTAGGAGAAGGGAGATCACCATTGATAGAGGTAGAAGAGAACTCATTGCTAGGAATTTCAACGTAAGGGTGGGATTTCCGTTCATATAAGGTTTGGCATGATGATATGTAGGTCGGTTTTGTCTCTATATGCTTTAATTATCTCTTCTCTCTATGTTGTGATCCTTTGATGTAAATTGATGCATTGTGTGTGTATTGGATGACCAATTTGATTGATGAATCATGAACTTGCATGATGATGCCGTGTTGGTGATTGTTTGTTGAATTGTGTGTTGATGCTAGTAGAATCATGTAATTGGTGGAATTACATGATGAAGATGTCGTGTTGTTGAAATTGTTGTGAGTTAGAGTCAGAACTCGAATATGTGAATTTTCAAAAAAATCTGGGGTTTTGGGAATTTTAAAAAAGTGATTTTCGTGTGAAAAAATATAATATTTGATTGGTATGAGAAGTGAGGTTTTGGGATGGGTTAAAAATCAATTTTCGTACTGATAAATTGCAGAAAAGTGCTTTTGCTATAGGTGTAACCGGTTATCATAATTGGTTTAACCAGTTACACTATTGAAAAATATGTTTTTTGGGCCAAGTAAGGGGGTGTAACCGGTTATCAGAAATGGTGTAACCATTTACACTATGAAACAGTAGCTAGGCAATGGCGTGGTTAGAGGGTGTAACCGGTTATTGCATTTGGTGTAACTGGTTACACTGGGAAGAAAATTTGTAAAACTTTGAAAAATCATATTTTGAGTTTTGGATGTCTGATTCGGGTGACGTTCAAAGTGTTAGGAAGCTGACGCGACGAACTTTATTCTAAAAATAATTGGAGTACTTAGATTTTATTTAGCTATTATGTGATGGTGTTAAACAGTATGTGGCATTCATGTTGCGGTGTGAAATATGCGTGAATGTATTGTTGTTGTTGATATATTATTCCATTATTGTTGCTGGAATGTTATAGCATGTGTTCGGTGTGTTATTAGCCAGTATGGAAGAGTATATTGATTAAGGTGAATGTCAGTGTACTTGTTGTTGATGTTGCATGTCTATTATGCATCATGCATCATGGTGTTGGGCGGTGGTCCATTTTGGTGAGCCTCAATCCTATGGTGATGAATTGGGTGCGAGTAGCTAATTCCTATGGTGATGGAATTAGTGAAGCGTTTACCTATGGTGATGGTAACGATTTTATGTACTCTGCTCCTAGGTGGCGATTGAAGTAAGTGAACCTGAGAGTTCACAATTTGGTACCACGTGCATTGAGTCGTGATAAAGTTTCATTGCATTTGCATATCTGTTGCATTATTGTATGTGTGGATTTGTATGAAGTGTGAATTGTGGATTGGGTGAATTTGTATGTATTATTTGTGTGCTTACATATAATTATGAAATTCTTTATATGTTTGTGATTGCTTACCCCTTCTATTTGAATAATGCCTTTACATGAGCACCGTACAGATAATCCGCAGTAGAGACATGAATGTGAGTGGAAGAGGATGCTCTTCCTTTTTCCTTGTTGAGTCGGCGTCTGCTCTGATGTGTAACACCAGAGATAATAGAACGTTGTTCATTATTTTATGTTTATGGAGAATAATATGTATAGCTCCCTCATTTGATAATTACTTTAATTTTGTTATGCCAATAGTTATATTTGAAGTTTTGAAATATTTACTTGGTTGATGTTTCCACATCTATTAATAAAAGTTGAAGTTGAACTATTTGATTGATGTTGTTATTATTATTATCATTAAAAAATTTTAAAAGTGGCATGTGTTGCATATTTGATTGTATGAGCAGGTTTTTGTTGAATAGTATCATCCTAATTGCCTAAACGTTTTAAATTACTCTGATTTTTATTATAAATTACGCGGAGATAATTAGGGTGGTACATGCTCAACCAAAT